TGTGTGTGTGTGTGAGTGAGTGAGTGTGTGAGTGAGTGAGCGTGCGTGCGTGCGTGTGTGAGAGAGTGTGTGTGTGTGTGTGTGTGAGAGAGAGAGTGAGTGTGTGCGTGCGTGTGTGTGAGTGTGTGTGTGTGTGTGTGTGTGTGTGAGAGAGTGTGTGTGTGAGTGTGTGAGAGAGTGTGTGTGTGTGTGTGAGTGAGTGAGTGAGTGTGTGAGTGTGTGTGTGTGTGTGTGCGTGAATGAGTGAGTGTGTGAGAGAGTATGTGTGTGAGTGTGTGTGTGTGTATATAATGATTTTAATTTAATTTAGCGTACTTCCCCCCCCGTCCTGGTTGAGAACCGCTGTATGGCGAAATCTCTCCAAACGATCCGTTTGAATCATTCAGACTGAACCATGAACCGATTCAGACCATTGCTATCTAGTTTAACTAATTCGTTGAAAAGAACCGACTCAATTGAATCACTCATTTACAAACACTGATTCAGTACCTTGGATTGTACACAGCCTACAGAAAACCCCAAAGATTTAGTTTAAGCCTATTTTGTCGTCAGGAAAAAGAGGACAAACGCTGACGCAAATGAACACAGTCCGACGCGTTCGTCTATAGCGCATATTTACAGAAAAGCTATGAAGAAACAGAGCAGAGGAGCGCAAAAGTGCATTCTGTGTGAACGGCTCCAGCAAGTCACAGTATGGCACAACGTAGCCTAATGTAAACTCTTCCTTTTTCATGTATTCAACATTATGTCTTGTAGGTACAGTACTGAAAACGTTTTGAACAGCTAGAATTCATTTCCTTGTATACTTCAGAATCACATGAAGGAATCGTGCTTGAAGTACAAAATACAACAATTATTAGTAAATGCAACAATCTGTTTCTTTTATTTAAAAAAAAAAACAATTGATACATTAGTCAATCACAGTGTTCAGCAATTGTCACATTAGATTATTTAATACTAATAAACTCTGTATGCTACTGTTATAGTAGTGATATATCCTTCTGAGCTATTAAAGATGCATCATGAATAATGCTCTAGCAGCCTTTCATCGCCTTCATTTCTCATTTCTCCAAATCTTCCTGACTGGTAAGTCATAGTGCAAGAGTATATGACCTGTGTAGCACACAGGCACACAGTTTGAGGCTTGTTCTTCATCCATTTTGGTCTATTAGCAAAGCCGGTCTGGCGTCAGTCTGTTGTGTGCCGCATCTGCAGTGGAATTCCTTCCACAGTTGCATGTGGATTGGCTGCAAGAGTAAAGATTAGGCAATTAGTTGATAGTGAAACAACAGGTTTGGGATCTGAATGCAAGCGAACATCCTCATACCTTGCTGCCAACTCTTGGTGTTTACATCAGCCTGTCCTCTGTGTCTCTTCCTGAAAATTCCCGGGAAACATTTCACTGGCCAAAACAGACTGCTTTTACTGCCAACGGCGCTATCTGCAACATAAAGAGCCATTGAGAAAGGACTCATTTTACACATATTAATTCTTTCATTCTAACTGTGGCCTCCTTTCATTATAGTCCCCCAAATCATGTGATTCGGCCAGAGTTGTGACCTACATATTAAAGGGGTCATATGATGCTATTTTAAAGATCATTATTTTGTGTATTTGGTGTAAAAGGATATGTTGACATGCTTTAATGTTCAAAAAAACACATTATTTTTCAAATACTGTACATTATTGTAGGTCCTCTATGCCCCACCTCTCTCAAACACGTCGTTTTCTACAAAGCCCCCTCCTTTGACAAGCGCAGTCTGCTCTGATTGGCCAGCTGACCCAGTGCATTGTGATTGGCCGAACACCACAAGCACGCGTCAGAAATGTAACGCCCCTTACCATAATCGCATACTTTCTGCTTTCAAACTAAATATCAAGACAGTTAATAATGTTGTTAGTTTTACCATCAGTTCAAGCCTGAAAGGGCAACAGAGTCGCGTGACAGACACAGTGATGATGCAGTACACAAGCCGCAGTTAAGACAGCTGACGTGCTCTGATTTCTGACAGCAGTTCACTCTCCTGTGATGTGACCCTGCTCTCACACACACACACACACACACACACACACACACACTCTCACACGACGCATTACTCTGCGCTGCGCAAAACTCCACATTTGAACAGTCAATAGTAAATACTTAAACTAATAACAAAACATACTTACAGTCGCTGATTCAGAAGCGCCAGATTGTCATAGCAAAGTCAGAATTGACCCTTTTTTTTTTTTAGAAATAGCCTTTGGGTACAGCCAGCCTTGTCGTTCATAAAATGCGTTGCACAAATTCGAACATCTGGGTTGTGCTGTTCTGTTGTAAATAAATCTTAACCAGGGATTCCTAATTGCATCTACTTCCGGAAGGCCAAATAAAGTGCTTTTGCTTTCGCACTGAAACACACAGCGTCTCCCTGACATGCTGCATCAACACTACTGCTGTTCCTGAAACCACGCCTTCTTTCTTTGCGCACATTTGGGCGGCATTATGCTAATATTTCCACATAGTGACGTAGACATGTGGGGGCGTGTTAGAACGAGCCATTTTAGGTAGGCGTGGTTGACTCTTAGCTTTTATAAAGAATATCTCTTTGGATTTGAGACTTTAATCTTTGCAACTTTACAGATCTTCTTTATGCACCAAGAGCTTGTAACATTCCAAAGAGAAAGGAAAAATTGAAATCGCATCATATGACCCCTTTAAACCAAAAGACCAAAAGATGGGCAGCACACTAGGGTTTGAGACTATGATGCCACAAACTACTGTCTAGAGATAAACAGCTCACAGTATTTTTAGGCTATTATGATAAAAAAGGGCTATTTTTTGGCAATGATGCCTCACAGTGCTGTCTAGGTAGGCTGTTCAGAAGGTTGAGAGAAGATAATTGCCAAAAATTCACACACAAAAATGCAATCTAGAGATGGAGTTCACATGAGAATCTCATGAGAAAACTTAATTTTGTGATAAGTACAGAAATGTACGATTTTTAGAGAGAGAAAAAACAGCATGAAGGTCTACCTCTAAAGCTAACCATCAGTGGGGTGTAAGCAGAATGTATGAAAACGTTCAAATAAGATGTTTTTCAATGCAAAAATGCGTTGTGTTAACGGCCCCTCATGCATGAGATGCTTCAAAAGACGCAAGCGAAGCAGTCAAACGGGTCCGTTTAGTACATGTAGAATGAAAAACAATAGAAAAGCAAAAACATGCTTTTGCTATTAACAATACAAGATGCGGAGTAGTGGAATTAAAAAAAAACCCGCTGAAGACCCGTTCACACCAAGGACGTTAACTATAACGATAACTATAAAGTTGTAATTATCGTTCACACTACAGCTATACGGATAACGACAAAATCATTGGTATCACTTTCAGAGCGTTTTTTTTCCTGCTGATGAACAGTTAAAAACACTGACAGCCAATCAGAATTCACTGACTTTAAAGAGCTTTAGCATTTAATGTGGCAGACGGCAAAAAGGCAAGCTGCTTATAATAAACGTAACAATGTGTTGGTGTGGACGCTAATATAATTATCATTATAGTTATCGTTTTTGGTGTGAATGGGTCTTTAGTATAGAGACTGATTTTTTTAAGGTTAAAGGTGACATTTCATAAAAATCTGACTGTTCCAGGTTAAGTGCTATAATCAGGTCCCCAGTGCATCAAACAACCAAGGAAACGTGAAAAAGATGAACCCAGTAACTTTGTTTTGGGAAGCCTTTTTCTGCAAGCGTCTGAGAAAATGAGCGCGTCTGATTTTGCTCCCCTGGTGACATGGCAAAGGATCTCATTATAATATTACCGCCCCTTCATCTGTAAACTTCCACCCATGGCTCCGTCATTTTGATTTCGCAAGCGACAACGGTGTAGCAGCTCTAATGCCGTGGTGAAAGTTTGAGCAAAACATGCTAACTGTTCTGTCTTTGGCTGCACAGACGAGCACAGAACACTGTTTAGAGTCCCAGCCTCAGAGGAGACAACAGAGCAGTGCATTTATTGATGTATTTACTGCATATTGCTGCTGTCACACAGATTTAAAATAAACAAGCGATTTATTTCCCAGCTATTTACCTTCACAAACATAACCCACTGTTTTTGTAACGCATGTGTGTTTTTAACGTAAACTTGTGTGTGAATGAGAACTTAGTGTAGTACTCACATGCTGTGACAGCCGCTTTCTGTGTGTGTGCTTCGGATGTGTGCGCTCAGTAAACCGTATATCAGAAGTTTAAACTAATATGGTTTAAAACGCATGATTTCAGCGCGATAAAGATAATAATCAGAACCAAAACAGATGTTTTTTAGCAGGTCCGAGCTGTAATGGCGCAGCTCTATTCTGGAAAATTTTAAATATTGGCGCAGCTCTATTCTGGAAAATATATTGTAAAAAGGGGCATAATATGTCTCCTTTAAAGCTCAGTTTTTAGAAAGCCATGTCATGCCTAAAATGCTGCAAAAGACAGGTGCAATGGTCAAACGCGTCAGTCTAGCGCATGTTTACATAGAAAAACAATGGAAAACAGTAAAAACGTGATATGTAAAAACATGCGACGCAGGGAAGTGGAATGAAAAAACGCAAGTCTAGGGATGTGATTTTTAAAAGTTATCTTATTTTAACTGGAGCGCCACATTTTTAGAATGCCTATCATGTGTGAGATGCTGCGAAGCGTAAAATAGTTACGAATTGCCAAGAAAATGTGTAAAGGTTTTGCGATTATTCAAATTCATGCAGAATCGCTGATCATAGAATAGCTGCATTTTCCCACAAGATCGAGTGTTTAAAAATATAGTGTCATGCGCAAGACGCTGAAAAACAATTTCTATGAGCGTGCATTGAGGTTTTGAGACTATGCAACACACTCTCATGGTAATTCATAACTTTTACATTTCTGCGAATGCGTACAATCTCATTCATACATTTTCATACGATCTGCTAACACCCCACTGAGGGTTAGGTTTAGGGGTGGACCTACGTGGTCACATTTTTTTCACCCAATCGTAAAACAGTTGCATTTTCTCATAAGATTTGGTTTTTAGAATGCAGTGCCATGTGCGAGACACTGCAAAATGTAAAATAGTTACCAATTGTCACATTTTCATGGCAATTTTGGCAAATTGGTGGCTAATGCGTACAATCTCATTCATACGTTTTCGTACAATCTGCTTACATCCCACTGTGGGTTAGGTTTAGGGGTAGACCTTCATGTTTAACTTTTTTTCTAAAAATTGCATGTTTCCATACAAATTTATACAGAATCCCCCCATCATAAAATAATTGTGTTTTCTCATAAGATTAGGATTTTAGAACGCAGTGTCATGTGTGAGACTCTGCAAAAAGTAAAAGTTATCCATTTCGATGGGAGTATGTTGAGGTTTTCAGACTATTCAACACATTCTAATGGCAATTTTGCCAAATTGATAGCTAATTCGTACAATCTAATTTGTATGTTTTCATATGATCAGTTAACACCCCACTGAGGGGTAAAAAAAAATCGAATTTCCATATGAATCACAGCATACAAATTCATACAAAATCGCCGTAGCGAAAAATAGTTGCATTTTGTAAATAGAGCGGGTTTTTAGAATGGAGTGTCATGCGCAAAGTATTGCAAAACGTAAAGTAGTTATAAACTGCCATGAGAATGTGTTGATGTTAATGTTTTGAGACTACGCAACACATTCTCTTGGCAATTCGTAACTATTTTAACTTTTGGCGAAATATTCGTACAATCGTATGTTTTCGCATCGATCTGCTTACGCCCTACTGATGGTTAGGTTCAGGGGTGGGGTTAGGGGTGGTCCTTCATGTTTACTTCTTTCTAAAAAATCTTACATTGCTGTACTAATCACATTATGCAAATTCATACGAAATCGCCTTGTCGTAAAAATGATGGAACGATTTTCCGGACAATTTTCAAATAGAATAGCAAATTGTATTTTCAATTGCGTTGTCAATATGTGGACGCATAAATTGTGACATAATCCATAATTGAAAACGCAACTGAAAATACAATTTGCTATTCTATTTGAAAATTGTCCGGAAAATCGTTCCATAAAAAATAGCTGCTTTCTGATGAAATCATGTTGGAGTATGTTGCCCAAACCCTCAAGCGGGCCAGTTGCACCCCCTAAGGACTGCCCTGTCCAAACGTGCGGTCACAGGACAGCAGTCCACAGGTTTGGATCTCTAACCTGCAGACACTGAAGACTTCACAGCCATGCAGGCGTGCCATCTGATCGCCTGCAACAAATCCGGGGACTTTGTGACGTAACAGCCGGTCCATATGGCCTGTGAGGGGTGATTAGTGAACACTGATCGCAGTGATCGATCCAGCAATCCCACTGAATCGCGACACTCCGATTGATCACGGTCAGTGTGAACGAGTCCCAGCAGCGCCGGGCGGAGCGCGTTTCTCTTTACGCGAGCTCGCACGTCCTTCAGAATCTCCCTCAAACACACGTGATTCTCTTTATTACACACATAATCGTGTTTGAAGATGAATATGATCACGGAGCACTTAATGGCTCTCTGCTTTGCGCCGATGTTCTTGGGTGGATCTGGTTTCTGGCTCTTGCTGCAGTGATCGGGTGAACTCTGTTCTGATCGATCAGTGCGTGACACATTAGTTTGGATTGTGATTGCGCCGTTACTGTTGCCAGTGGTTTCTTCGTGCTCCGCGTTATTAAACATATCAGCGATAAAGTCCTGTAATCCCCGGGTGTCTCCATCAGGTCCAGTCACAGCACTGATTAAATGAATGTTACTTTTCCCACCGATTTGATGCAGAATTTGTTGGAATGGATCATCGTGCTCGCTTTCTGCAGCCATTACCAATGCAACGCCTTTACCAGACAGCTCGTTCGTTTCTTGAGGATAAGACAAAGTTGCCAAAACACAAAACTTACTTGAGAAACGTTTTTAACGCCGAAATCTCGCTGTGAAAGTGGACGCGGCTCGCGTGTGGGCAGGGTTTATTTACACAAGACTGACCAGCTCGCCGTGAAGGTGGAAGTGCTGCGCTTACTCTGATTGGCTAAGCGCATGTGTAGGCGGGGCTTATTTGCACATGATTGACAAGTTCGCCGTGTGAGTTGAAGTATTGAGTTTCCTCTGATTGGCCAAGCACATATATGGGCGGGGTTTATTACGACAAGGTCTACAAGACGATAGTTTTGAAGGTGAAATTGTAAAACTTTTTATATATTATTGAAAACATTTTATGTTCTAAGTTCTTCTTAATAGAATTTCAAGAGTGATTTAAAAAAAAATGTTTTCCCCTTTGATGATTGTTATTCCTTAGTGTTTAAATCATATATAGCCTATACACAGTGTGAGGAGCCTGGTTTATTTAGATAAGAATGGCGTGGCTTTATTATGTGTATTTATTACACTTACATTATATTAATATTTACAATTATAAAATTATAATTATATAAAAAAATATATATATTTAATATATAGTTATAATTATATAAAATATTTAAAAATATAAAATGCCATAGCCTTCAAAATCTCAATTTACATAGACATTTATATTTAAACAGTTCTCTACCCAATATTTTTCAAAAATAAATAACTAGCTTTGTATTTAATGACAAACTGAAGTCTTGGGTAAACAGTCCCCCTGACCTTTAAACAGCCCTGGCTCTTTGCTTTCTGCTAGTCTGATTAAAACTGTAATCAGTCATTTAATCTGATATGCTGCATTATCATGTTTACTATTCAATGTTCACCATCAATATCAAATGCGTTAAAACATACTTAGTGATTTTAATAAAAGTCTGAATTCTGTGTACTAATTCCATTATTCAACTGCTCAATAGCTGCTGTAAAGTATACAAATTATAAAGTTATAGTGAATTATATGGATTTATGGCTCAGGTGACAAAAATGTGATCAGACGTTTTCATACAAAGATAGCATAATGTATAATGTATTTTCATTAAATGTTAACTTTTCTTTACAAATGTAGTTTTTAGTGTTTTGGTGTTTAGCATTGATCACAGCATTGACAAATTCTTCTTAACTAAATATAAATGGTGTCAGTGTAATGTGAGATGTTCTTTTTCGCTGATTATCTTGCCCAACAGGTTTGATGTGGGGTTTTTAGTATATGTATTCACTGTACAGCACACAACAATACAATAAAAAGATTCTTACCTTCCCAGCCAATATTTTCACAAATTTTCATAGGAACGATCAATTTTTATTTTCCACCATGCATGTTTATATTATAATATTAATATTTGTTTTTCATCAAAAAGTTTCTTTACACAGTACTTTACAAAAAGAAAATATGCATCAATCTATAAATTCAGAAACCCTTTTGCTGGAAAGCAATGTCATATATAAAACTTTACAGACTGTAGTTTTCCACACATTCTCACTGACAAAAAGCTCAGCTATAATCAGCCAAATCAGACTCAATGTGTATAACTCTTCTATTAGTCTAGGTGATATGTGAAAATAATGTTCACGAAACTTGGTACACTTGTACAGTTTGGGGCCCTGAACATTTTCAGAAATGGAGCCATCGCAAAAACACCTTGTGGTCGCCATGGCGGCCATTTTACTTTCCGCCATTACCAAATTATGTATTTTGTATTATGTCTTCCCCTACGTTGGTAACAACATAAACTGTTGAGGTGAATAGTTAATGGTTAATTCAGTGACGATGTGAGAAGAAATACAATGAGATACAATGAAATCACAGTATCAGAGAAGATGCAGAATGAAATTTCAAGAATTTTCCCTGTAAACTTTATTTACATATATATATATAAACTTTATTCATTTGCAATCACTCTCTAGGGCCAGAGTTGTCTATTATGTTAGTGTCCACAAGGGGGAAGCATTTCTTTCAGTTGATACTTCTCAGTGCAGCCTTCCTTCTAGATCAGGGGTTTTTAACCTGTGGGGCCAACCCCAGGGGGGCGCGAGCATCAGTTAATTCAGAGACGTTCTCTTGAGAATTTATGAATGAGTTAACAAATCTTTACCCATCCACTAGGGGGCAATCTGACTCCCACTGCTAGTCGACAGTTAGAGCAGAGTTGGCTCGAGTATCAGTCACGCTCAGTGTTGCCAAGTCCGCGGTTTTCCCACGGAATTGGGATACTTTAACACTTGCCTTTGGGATAGTTTTGAGTAGCAATTAGGCGGGTTTTGTTGTGAAAACCTGGCAACCCTGGTCACGCTTATTGGCAGTGTAAGATGATTTACGATTAGCCGTCCAACGACGGACTGGCATGTTGTTATCTCAGAAACAGGCTCAGCCATCACATTGAATCAGGTAAACTGGTTATATATTTATGTTTCAGTATAATTAAGCACGCTATACCAGGGGCGGTTCTAACCCCTTTTTAGGTGGGTTTCACCCCCAAAACTATCTTAACGATCAGGCCAGTGCTGCTTCCTCGAGAAAGTTTTTCATTCTTACGTGTTTTAAGTGTTGTCAGTTTAAACATTAAAGTAATTTTAAGCCATTTAAGCCCAAGACATCTCAATGCGGTACTCACGCGCTATGATAAAGCGTTTCTATGCGCACCGCTCACACACCTGAAGTGCACAGATAGCCTTCTCAGACAGCAGGTGAATACCAATGGCTGTCTTTACAAGTATCCTTGTAAGCACAGTCGGTTGGTTTAAGAGAATGTAAACAGTAAAGAAAATATCAAATGTACATAAGGCAGTGGTTCTCAAGCTTTTTTTCCACCGGGCCGCACTATGGTCCAAGTGCAAGTCTCGTGGGCCGCACGCATATCATTTACATATTACGTCAGTAATACAAACCAACCTGATATATAATATTATAGCCTAAATATTATGATATCTAATCGATTACATTCATTGAAATAAATAAATAATTATACTCCCCATAAATAACACCCAGTTTTGTGAACTTCGGCTCGAAAGGAGTAACAGCACAATCATAGGCGGAGTTTCACTTTTATGTGTGGGGGGGCACCCACTGGCAGAAGAGCCACGAGCACTTTTTTATATGTTCTACATTTCATGTATTTATGTAACACACATTCTACATTAAAAAATCAATTTAGAATGAACAATAACTGCTGTACAAAGAGAAAAAAAATAAAGAAAAAAAACACCTAATGCAGAGAAGCCGCCTCTTTTTCCGAATTGCGCAGATGAGAGATGACCATATCTTTCTTTCATCTCTTCTGATACATTTTCAGTCAAATCGTTTTCTGTGTGCTAGATCAGAGCTAGAGCCCTGCATTTCAGCCCAGGCCCGACGGGCCCCGACTTTTTTACGCCCCTGGGGCTGGGCTTCGGGACAATTTACACGTCATAGTTCAGACGGGCCTCGGGCCTGTTTTAGGCTTCTCCTTATTTTTATATTTTAGACATCCATCAATTAGTGATGAAAAAAGATTGCCGCGCTGGTGGAAACGGCACGAGACCGTGCTACCGTGACTGTCAAGAGCGGCTCCCCGGGGTTTATTGTCCAGCAGCAGCAGTATGTATGGTGTGTGCAGTCAGCGCAGCTGAAGAGTTCTGCGTTCAAATGCACGCAATAGGCTTAAGCTTGCAGCAAAGCATCGGCAAAAGTAATTACCATAAATGCGTCAGGGGGAAACAGTAAGGAGATATTTTAGTTATTTACTAATAAACTATTGTTTTCTGAGTCGGTGTCGCAAGGATGATGTTGCCGATCCTGACTCGCCATCTCTTCATTAGACGCGCCTTTAGAGAGAAGTGCATCTTTACGGATTATGATCATAATGAAAGAGTTTTTGATTTTGATTTGTTTTATTTCGTTAAGTAGTAATTTAAAGCTTTCTATAGATATATTTATCATGTCTGTGAGGCAGGTATTCGCTGAGTTTTAGTTCATTTTTGCTCCTGTTCAAGACGAGACGGCAGAAAGCGCATCGTGTTTGATTTCTTTATTTTATAAAAGCACAACGTTTTGTTGATATTGTGAGTGCACACAAATAAAAGTAGGCCCTTTACAGTTACGAATGATGTATTACTTTTACCTTTATGAGCAAAAATGACGGTGTATCCACTGAAAAAAACGCAATCGCGCTGGCGTCTCTCCCTTCCACTCTCTGCGCAAACTATTGGATATAGCGCACATTTATCTAGGTTTAACGTCTAAACATTGTTATGCTTGAACTGCTTTATAGCTATATATTTTATTGTAGTCAAGTCGTGATGATTTGAGAAGGCTAAATTGATCAAACATATGCTCACTGTCTGCCGCTGGCCGCTTGGTCGTTTATTTAAATGCGTAACGATAATTGGGCTATGTAGCCTATCTGCTCATGTCTGAAAATAATATATGAAAAACAAAATTATTTTAGATAAAAATATTAGGCTATAGCTTATATTTGTTTAGTACATTTTTTAATTAATGTAAAAACTCAAATTAATTGTAAAACTGAAAGTATTCTTTTTTAATTGTGTTCAGCACGGTGGGCCGCATTTGAATTCGTGACGGGCCGAATTCAATTCAATAATAATGTTAATGAAAAAGAGCAAAAGAAAAATTGTTCGCTGCTTTAGTAGCTTTAATGGATATTTGCTTTTATGTTAATGTTAATAAAGTAATTCGGTGTGACTACAGTAATATGGGGGGGGTTGTTGGATGTTGGGGGGGCGCGAGTGAAATTAGACCAACTTGGGGGGGCGCATGTTCTAAAAAGTTGAAAACCCCTGTTCTACATGAGTCCGTCGAATTTGTTTGATGGTGTTACAAACATACAAGGCAACTCCTCCTCCCCCACCTCCCTTGCAATCCCGCCGATGTATTGTATATCCAGGAAAAGTTACAATTTAATCTGGGATACCATAATTTAGCCATAAAGACCATAAAGTCTCTGAAACGGCGACAACTGCGGAGTTATTATTCAGTGCTACACTGTGCAGCTCACCACATTTGTGGTGTAAAGAACGTACATTAGAAAGGAGAAACCCATTCATAGATGGTTTTGACTTGTGTTGGTTTATCTTGATATGAATTAAGTTCTTAGATTGGTAACAACAGTCAGATAAAA